ATCTACCGTCACAGTATCCATGGCTCAGCACAAGATGAAGGACTCCAGAGGATTCTCAGGACGTCAGAACCGAGACTGCGGAACTCAAAGCTCGCAAACAAAGCACTCCAAGCCATGAATCCAAGCAACCAGCATGAAAGGACAAATCTGGTGCCTCCACGTCCATCTGCTCCTGGAGCTGGGCCTCCATTGATGTCCGACCTCAGCAGATGCAGTTTGTCAATCAGAACACCCAACCACAGCCCACCCTACAATCTTGACTGCCCATCACTCTTTTTATCAGTTAGCAGATGTCAGCAGCCTGCATATTAAAACAGTTCATGGGGTCAGCATCCGCCGAAGTTCCAGAATCTGAGTTATCAGGAACTGGATGTTTGCAGCATTCTGCCGGCTCGAGGAGTCCAAGAGTTGCAATTGATTGCGCCAGATACCTTGCCACTGGCGAAAGTCATCTTGAAGTGAGCGAATCTGCCTTCCCAGGATGTCCAGACGCATGTCCAATGCAGTTGGTGTCGGTGGTGCAGCAGCATCAGCATGACTCCCAGATTCGAGGAAATCAGGATTCTGGGGAGGCTGATCTGGATCATCGACACGAAGCCTCTTGACACCATCAGTCTCAGGCCCATTCTCAGCATCACTCCCAGCTTCCAGGAAATCAGGATTCTGGGGAGGCTGATCTGGATCATCGACACGAAGCCTCTTGACACCATCAGTCTCAGGCCCATTCTCAGCATCACTCCCAGCTTCCAGGAGATCAGGATTCTGGGGAGGCTGATCTGGATCATCGACACACTACCTCTTGACACCATGAGCCTCAGCCCCATTATCAGCATCACCCCCATGATCAGCAAAGGCTTCGGGTGGGGCAGCTGGTAGTTGTCCACCATCAGAAGAAGCAGCTGCAGCTGGTAGTTGTCCAGCATCAGAAGCAGCATTGGAAGGTGGAGCAGGTGTCACAACATCTACCGTCACTGAATCCATGGCTCAGCACAAGATGAAGGACTCCAGAGGATTCTCAGGACGTCAGAACCGAGACTGCGGAACTCAAAGCTCGCAAACAAAGCACTCCAAGCCATGAATCCAAGCAACCAGAAAGCTCACAAAAAGCTGAGTCCCAGACTGACACAGAATGTAGATGAAGACGACGATCGTCAGGATGAGCTCGTAGATAGATAGATAGATAGATAGATAGATAAACAGATAGAAAAACAAATAAGTAGATAGATTGGTAGATAGATAGATCGATTGATAGATAGAGAGATCGAGAGATCGATAGATGGATAGATATACACCACTTGATAGATAGATATCGATAGATAATAGATAGACAAATGAGATAAAGGGGATAGATACATGGATAGATAGATAAAGGGAATGATAGATACAGGTATCTATAGATCGATCGATAGCTACACAGATAGGTAGATAGATAGGTAGATAGAGAGATGGATAGATAGATAGATCGATAGATGGATAGATACTAGATACTCCTGGACTGATGGGTGTGTTTTGGCAGGGGATCTACACCGGGACCCTTGGGAGCAGGACCCTTAGGGAACCTCAGATAACCAGCAAACCCCGAACCACGCGGAATTGAACCCAAAACCTTTTCACCCTAAACCGTAAACACTTAAACCCTGAACCTGAAGCCTTAAAACCGCAAACTGTCATCCCTGTAACCCTGACTCGAAAGCGAACAGATCCTAAACGCGAAACCCTAAGCCTGAACCCAGCCCCAAACCGACCGAAAGCCCCAAACCCCCAAACTTTACGTCAACTTTAAGGGCTAGACCCGAAGCCCTTAAACACTACAATCCTAAATGCCAAACTTTTAACACTCAACGGCTTAAAGTTTAATTTAATCAAGCGAGCACATCTGCACCTTCTATATCGGAGGCCCTTTCACGGGCACAGCACGAGCAAGGAAACGAAATACGTCCAAGATAAATCTTTCGCTTAGAATCCACGCTAGCAGGGCAAATGAGAGATGATTCCATTGTCAAACCTGCTAGATTGAAACTTTGACATGTGACGGCTCATTGCCGGACGATTCAAACCCGGGCTATAGAGCCTCTGAGAGGCTCCAGTCTTGTTTAGGAATGGCTGCTGAAAGCTGAAGAAAACCGTCCGGGCAAGCCCGAAATCTAGGAATTTATTTTGTTCCAGCTTGTCTTGGTTTTGTCTAGGCTGTTTTGGCTTCTCTTAGTTTCTGTTGGTTTTCTTGGGTTTTGGTAAGTTTTCCTTACTGTTGCTCCATCCTCCAGGCTTTCAGACGCTAGAATCTCTTTGGGCAGGAACAAAAAGTCCGAAACCACTCTCTCGGCTACCAATGCCGCACCGCAATGGCCCAATGGTAGCCCTATTCTAGACGACCTACTCAGTTACTCAGGCACCTCCTCAACCCTTTCCATAAACTTTTCTCTGCTACGTTACATGCGACCAGGAGCCATGGACTTATTTAGCTTTACTTAGGATTGTTCAGTTTTTCGTGATTTTCCTTAGTCTCCTCAGCTTTTGGCCTTTTTTGGTGCATATGCTGTGATAGGTTGAAAAATCCCCAGTCATAAACGGTACAGATGTGCACGCATGCTTTAAGACGCAAGCCCGAACCGTCAATTCTTAAACTCGAAGCTTTAGCCGTGAAGCCAGAAAGCCTAAAACGTAAACCCTAAATCGCACATCAATGAACCACAAACCATGCCCTTACATCCCAAGCCCTATAAAGCTCTTGCATCTGGTTGGCAGCGACTCAACCTAAAACCCTAAACCGCAAACAATTGAATCCTAAGCTTAAACCGTAACGGCGCAAACCCTGGCACTTGGCCCCAGCTGCAAACCCAGTGAAAACCCTCAAAAACCTGAAGCACGAAACGACAAACCCCTAAACCTGAAACCCTACACTGCGAACCCAACCCCAAACCGCAAGCCCCAAACCCTAATCTTGCGCCCTAAAGCCTTTTTTGCATCCAGGCCTCTGCTTTCTCCTACATCCCTAAACCGTTCAACCCTAAAGCGTGAACGGAAACCTAATCCACAAGCCAAGCCCTAAGCATTACACCCGAAACCCTGGCTCCCCATACATGTTTGTCTGAGCTGTTTGTTCCATCGTTTTGTGTTCCACTCTCAAACAGGGAGATGTCTGGGCCCTCTCAAAACGACCAAGCGGGTCGTATGTGCATTTTGCCTAGAAAACCACCTTTGGTTTGGCGGCAGTGACTTCCCGCGCAAGCCATCTGATTTTTCGTATGGAATTAGGGTACATTTCCTGGCCTCCAGCGCAACCCATTGAAGCAGCACACGTGCCGACATGCTGGAACCCCTGTTGGCATCCATGTTTCATTGCATATGTGCATGTGCCCGCACCATTCGCACCCTGCCCGCATCGCATCCGATGCGAACAGCACATGAGCCCGCGCCGGTGCTGATGCCCATGTTCGCACGGCATCTGATGGGAGCATTACGCCCATGCCTGTACCAATGGTGAGACAGAAAACTAGAGAACACACATACACAAGAATGTGGCCCTGATGCACCCTACGCCCCTACACCCTTGAAGGCCCAAGCCGCGAAAGCCCTTAACCCCTAAACCCTTTTAACCTTTTTACACCTGGCCCATCATCTCTGGGGCCCTTACACCTCAAACCCTACAGCAGCTTAAACCCTTAAACTCTCATATTCTTAGACTGTAACATCGTCTAAACCCGAAACAACACTCCAGCCTTTTTTTCCACAGGCTTGAACTGAGCTCGCCCGGCCAAATGGAGTGTTAAACCCCAAACCCTTGAGCAAAACCCTGAGGGCCTTGAACCCTGAAGCTCTTAAAGCCCTCAACCCTTGAAAAGCAGAATCATAAATCCTAAGCCTTTCAACCCTAAACCCAGCCTGAACCCCTTATTGCAAGCAAACCCTAGTCTACGATCCCCAACTCACGATGGAAATCCTGGGCAACCGACCCGAAGTCGAGACATCTCCTCAGAAGAAACGGCAAATGTCTTTGACTTCATGTGTACACATACTTAGGGCATTGAAAAATAAGAACAGGGCTTTGGGGGATGTTGTTGTTTAACTATAGAGGAACTAGAAGGGGGTACTGTTACTAAGTATTGAGGCTTCAAGTGTACAGGGCCCGTCATCTGAAGCTCGGCCCGTTCTTTGCCTGCAGGATTTGTCTAGGCCTTCGTGTGATAAAGGGGCACGTGTCTGTCGCATAGATGGATACATAGCCATCTGGCTAGCTGCTGGCTAGCTAGCTAGCAACTAAGTAAGCTCTCCCATTGAAACTGGAGACGACTACTACTACTACTACTACTGCTACTACTACTACTACTACTGCTACGACGATCTTGAAGGAACAGGGAGCCCGAAAAAAAACCGGCCCTGCCGACTGCCGCCGGGAGTCCCTTGGCTCGCGTTTGGGTGACTTGCATTCCCCAGTGACTCTCGCAACTCCAGGCCCGGCGGAGCGCTGATCTCCTTGGCTCTTCTTCTCCGCTTTAGACAAACAGAAAATGGATCGAAGATAAAAGGCAAAAGGTAGATATAACATGTGTATGTATTGGCGGCGAGACATCTCTTGCATTCAGGATGCGATGCTGTCTCCAAGTTGGAGAGAATCCGACAATGTAATGGTCACTTCAACTCCGAAAACTTTCGCACTGGCTCCATACTCCAAAGCACCTCGTTGGCAGCAGGGGGCACCGAGCAGGCTTGGCTGCCATTAGTCATTGACAAACTGGCGTTCCGAGATGCTGTTGTTCACCTGAAATGCCAGCGCAGGCTTCAATATCGGGATGCTTTGCAGGTAGATCCTGTCCAATGCAATGCGCTGACCCGTCGCGATGAAACCTTCCAGCGATGCCGGACCAACAGCTGCAGCAAGAAATCCCAGTAAGGGCAGGACATGAGCACTGCAATGAACTGCTAGCACGCTCACATTTGAAGGCTGCAGTTTGACAGTTGATCTAGAGAGCGGTCTGAGGACTACAATAGTCGCAGTCGGTCACCGCGAGCACGCGATAGTCTAGGCTTCCCAAGAAATAAGACATGCAAGACAAGAGCAAGCAGGAGGTGGAATTGGGGAAAGTACGATTGAAGTCCAAGGTGAACGTCCAAGTCCCAGTGTGCCCAGTAAGGCCAGATCGCGCACCCCCTGAAACAACTGGATCAGTGACAGGTGCAGGCGGGCAGCGCTTGTATGTTTCAAGGCGCCACTGAGCAGAGCTCGGCCATGTTGGGACAGATGGATTTCGCACCCGGCCCTCCAAAGTGTACGCCACCCCCTTCAAGGTCAAGGTAGCAAACCACCAAACGGTGAAATAGAAATGCTATGCACGCATGCAGAAAAGTTGCAAGTTGCGCCTGAACTATTGCCTTGCGGTCAGTGAGGAGGAAGATCATGGACACCGGGGCATCTCCGCCCCCCTCTGTCGATGGCACGCCAGCTTCATCCCCGACGCGGCAGATTGCATCTACGGCAGAGTACAGGGCATCGAGATCCCATGGTTCTCGCCCCCTCCTCTCCAGAGTAGGATTTGCCTCAGAAGCAACATCTGCGACATAAGTTCGTGGAACAACTCAACTTCCGAACCTGTCCGACAGCATGAAAGAGCCGAAGGGCGCACACGTCAAAGTCGAGCTTGGCAAACTCATAACCGGCAGAAGCAAAGATCATTACTCCCCCATCCTCGAAACTTCAATACAACTCATGGATTGCGGCATTCGTGCAAGCAAGCCGACCTCTGCATCTGGCAACAAGGGGTCACCCCCACCGAGTTGCAACCTGGAGCAGCATCGCAGCAACAGCTTTAAGATGTGTCACCTGGAGAGAAGACTTGAGACTTCAAAGCCAGTGTCGGCCTGCGTTGCCGCATCCTGGGAGCCGGAACTGTGGAGGATGGCATGAAGTCCTTGAGCAAGAGCATGCAAGAGCAGCTGACGACGGCTTGCCTCTGGTATGAACCCCTGTCAGTTGAAGGAAGCGTCGATGCGAAAGGGCAGATACTGGTCCAGGACTGCCCACCAGGTATGAGAAGCAACTCCTGTGGCCAGCTCCAACCGGCTCTCAGTCGGTTGAAGCGTCCTCGACAAACCCCAAAAACATCTACGAAGAAGAGAAGAGCAACACCATACTCCGATATGTTGTCAGCTAGCATCACTGCGATCTGCACATTGCCAAGCGGCCGTATCTGGATCGACTCGAAAGGCCTGGATGCCTCGACGCCGAAGTCCAGAGCCCAGACGTTGTCTGCTGCTGGACTTGGCGGCAGTTCCTCAAGACAAAGACAAGAAAGAAGAAACCCCAGACTCGAGACAGCATCTTCTAGGCGTAGAGCGAGGCACCGGATTGCGAACCTGGATCTCAAAGCCATAGCATGCTCCATCTGTGAAGCTGGAGATTGTGCTGTCCTCTGGCATCAAGGTCGCGAGATACAAGCCTCGGCCACACAGACACGTAAGAGAACGAAGCATCACATCAGCTTCCAGACCAGCCAAGCTGCCGTTCGGAACCGAGATGCGAGCTGTGTGATGAAGTCCCAGGCATGCCATGGGCTCCAGCTGACTCGGCCACGATGCGAGTCGTCTTGGGCACCAAGGCTGCGAAGCGAAGCTCGACCGGCAAGGGAACCTGCGACGATGCACACAATGCAGCTTGCACATGGGTGCTGCGTCGCAGACTGCCTGGTTTGGTCAGTCTCCGAAAGGCTTCGCAGCCCTCCGGAGCAGTCCTGCAAAAGTGTCTTTTGCCATCATCGAACCCTTCGCTCACTGGGTCACAGAGTGCAAGCGAAGGTCCTCCAGAAACTCAAAGCCTGCCGGCCCGCGCAGCGCCAAAGGGAAGTGCTCCACGCTTCTGGGGTACACTGGCGCCTTGTCGATGCCTCAGAGACGAAAGCTTCGGGACTGCCGGGTGGTGTCTGCCGTCCTAGTGCTAATGATACTCGCACGCCGTTTCCAAGTTGGGTATGGAGATGCTCAGCGGCCCAAGCCTTAGCACGAAAACCTTCAAAGACCAGGCAGGGAAGCATGGGAGGGAAACGAGATGCTCTGGTCATGCCTGTCAGCATCATGCGGTTTGCGTGGAGTCGTGTTCCAGTTCTTTGCTTTCCCTGCCTCTCGACCTTGACGCGCTAGCCATGGTCGGGGATTGCATGAAAAGATGGGTGCATGGGCGGTGGTTCCGTGTCAAGCAAACGACAGACCTGAGCCTCTCAGCAAAGCAGCAAAGTGTTTCTCTGACTTGATCTCATGGTGCAGAAATAGAAGGTGAGGGTGTTCACGCTCAACGGCTGGTCATTGCGCCCGAAAGACGGAGCTTCGTAGTCGGGAGGCTCAAGAAGCCCGGCCTGTGCCACGACAGTTTCGACTCTTGCACTCCCACAAGGCCATGCGCTCAATACTCAGTAGTAAGAGTATTATATTCTTACTACACCCAGGCACCTGACATTGTCAACACAGCAAGCCAACACTACAAGGGAACAGAAACCGCCGGGAGCAAGCTTCGGAGCTTGCACGGCACAATCTCAACGCTAGAACCATAACGATCCCCAATGCTAAAACCATAACATCATTTGAACAGAAATATACACCCGGTGACATGCAGCTCCCCTCACTATGCTGAAACGTCGACGAACTCAACTACGCAACTGCCCGACAAGTCCATCCTACAAAACCTCACGGCTACAAGTATCCAGAGATCTGCACTCGCAGCCAACAAGAACCAGTACGCGAAAGTATCAAGATCCCGTCATTACTGTCACCAACTATGCGTCAATCAGTGTTCCCAGTCTGCTGTAGCGGTGCGGGCTAGGGTCTAGAGATGCCTAGAGTTTCGTCAAAGGAGGCCTCGCCCAGGAATCCCAAGACTCGCGGGCTGGGCGTGTCAATTCCAAAATCCAAGATCCGGTGCGTCGGGTACATGTCCAAGGCACCTTGCAATCACTCGGTAAAATCCGTTTCCGCTTTGACTCAGCACCAGGCGAGCCACTGAAGGTTGCCAGATTCCAGTGTGCCATGTTCGCTGCAGGATGTGTAGGATTGCGTGAGCGCCTGCTGGCGACAAATCTGCATGCATCTCGTGCTGTAGCATGCCAGACAGCAGTCAGAAACGGATGACATAATGCGCATCTTGCGTCGGCCTGAACCGGAAACCGTAGAACCCTGCTGGAAGCTGCCCTTCTTTCAGCCAGAGCTTGATCATGGGCAGTAGACTGGTCTCATGCTCGAAGACCAAGCCTCGCCACTTGTTGCCACTTCATGCAAAAACGAAACAAGCTCTATAGCTAGAGATCTATACCATGTATCTCTATATATATCCGCCGACCCCTGCTGGGGCGGCGCCAGTGAAATCCCGAAGGGTCGGTTTTTGCTTGTCTTCCCGTCAAGAAGAAGTAACAGGCTTCAAAAGTTAGCGACACCGCCACCCCACCACCCACACCGTTTTCAGCGCTTCGCCTACACTGCCCCGTTCACCGTTCCAAACCCTCTCCGTCTCCACCGCCGTCAGCGCTTTGCCCA